GCACACACAGGGTAAGACAGAAACAGACAGGATCAACCAGGTATTGTAGAACAAAGAAAGGGACAATTGACATGGAAAAGGCACTGTGCTATATCTCATGCCTTAAAGGGACAGGAGCATTTTATTTTTAGGTTTACAACCACTTTAAGCATAAATAGACATTTGTGTATCCAAGTAAGAACAGCTGTGATCCCCACATACAGTTGCAAGAAAAAGTATGTGAACCCCTTGGGATTACGTGGAGTTTTGCATGAATTGGGCATAAAATGTGCTCTGAACGTCATCTAAGTCACAACAATAGAAGAACACAGTCTGCTGAACAAAATACTACACAAACATTAGATGTTGCCATGGTTTAATTGCACATAACATGTAAACATTCACAGTGCAGGGAGGAAAAAGTATGTGAACCTTTGGACTTAATAACTGGTTGACCCTCCTTTGGCAGCAATAACCTCAACCAAACGTTTCCTGTAGTTGCAGAACAGACCTGCACAACAATCTGGAGTAATTTTGGACCACTCCTCTTCACAAAACCGTTTCAGTGTAGCAATATTCTTGGGATGTCTGGTGTGAATCGCTCTCTTAAGGTCATGCGACAGCATTTCAATCGGGTTGAGGTCAGGACTCTGACTGGGCCACTCCAGAAGGCGTATTCTGTGCTGTTGCAGCCATTGTTTTGTTTAATTACTTGTACGCTTTGGGTCATTGTCCTGTTGCATCACCCATCCTCTGCAGAGCTTCAGTTGGCGGACAGATGGTCGTACGTTTTCCTGCAAAATGTCTTGATAAACTCTGGAATTCATTTTCCCATCAATGACAACAATCTGTCCAGGCCCTGAGGCAGCAAAGCAGCCCCAAACCATGATGCTCCCTCCGCCATGTTTTACAGTGGGGATGAGGTTTTGATGTTGGTGTGCTGTGCCTTTTTTTCTCCACACATAGTGTTGTGTGTTCTTCCCAAACAACTCAATCTTGGTTTCATCTGTCCACAGTATATTTTGCCAGTAGTGCTGCGGAACATCCAGGTGCTCTTTTGCAAACTTCAAACGTGCTGCAATATTCTTTTTGGACAGCAATGGCTTCCTCCGTGGTGTCCTCCCATGTACTCCATTCTTGTTTAATGTTTTCCTTATTGTAGATGTGTCAACAAAAAAATGTTAGCATGTGCCAGAGATTTCTGTAGGTCTTTAGCTGACACTCTGGGATTCTTCTTTACCTCGTGCAGCATTCTGCGCTGTGCTCTTGCAGTCATTTTTACAGGACGATCACGCCTAGGGAGAGTAGCAACAGTGCTAAACTTTCTCCATTTGTAGACAGTCTGTCTTACCGTGGACACATGAACATCAAGGCTTTTGGAGATACTGTTGTAACCCTTTCCAGCTTCATGCAAGTCAACAATTCTTGATCGTAGGTCTTCTGAGAGCTCTTTTCTGCGAGGCATGGTTCACATTAGACAGTGCTTCTTGAAACCAGTAAACCCAAAACAGGTGAGTGTTTTTTAAGGGCAGGACAGCTGTCAGCAACACATCCAATATCATCACACTGATTGGAGTCAAGGTTGGCTCACTCCTGGCTCCAATTAGCTCTGGGAGAAGTCATTAAGCTAGGGCCTCACATACTTTTTCCTCCCTGCACTGTGAATGTTTACTGTTTATGTGCAATTAAACCATGGCAACATCTAATGTTTGTGTAGTATTATGTTCAGCAGACTGTGTTCTTCTATTGTTGTGACTTAGATGACGTTCAGAGCACATTTTATGCCCAATTCATGCAAAACTCCACGTAATCCCAAGGGGTTCACATACTTTTTCTTGCAACTGTATAACAATCCTATAGCTCAGTGCTAGTGATGACTTTTTTATTTATATGGAGATCACATGGCTTTGTTGATAAACAAAGCCACGTCAGTCACATCTGCCAATATACTGCATGTCTTTCTAGTTGCAGTGGTTGTAAAGGATATATTATTTTTAACTAAAATAACAAACAGGTTATATTTACCTGCTCTGTGAAATGGTAATGCACAGAGTGGCCCTGTTCCTCATCTTCTGGGGCTCAACCATGCTCTTGGTTCCTCCTAATCTGTGTATGCCCCCAAAGCAAACTGCTTGCTATGGGGGCAGAAATGTGGGCTTGCTCCTGAGCCAGTCTGTGTGTGTGTTCATAGACTTACACAGTGCAGCACGGCCCACCCCTGCTTCTTCCTCACAGGATTTGATTGACAGCTCGTGCTCCTGCCTCTGTCACTGTGAGCAGAGAAAGATAAAGAGCAGCACAGCTCCCTAAGTGCTTAAAGATGAAATGATGTTGAGGAAACTAACTGATTTGAGGAAAGCTTTAAGGTGTTTGGTTAGGTTGTGGTGTTATAGAAATTCCATGGATTCGTATACCTTGATCTCTTTGACACTTAGCTTGGTCCAGTTTAACTTTGCTGAAACAAATAGGTAGCTTTGCCACTGTCAATAATGCTGAATGTTTCTGCTCCTGTATGGTACTGCCAGTACAGCTAGCTGGCTTGCTACCTAATTATTAAGACAACATAATGCTACCACTCTTGTGTTTATGGCACTGTGTGCTGCCCATTGTAATATTCATGGAAGGTAGTGAAGGGTGGCTATGAGGTTTTAAAAACACTGAATAGATGCTGCATAAAAACACAAGGTATTGACACATGTGTGAATGAGCTCCAAGTGCTAAAAGGGAAAGTGATGTATAGGAAATGATCTGCTTTGAGCCGTGTTTATGTTGTGGTGTGATATCAGGCATTTTGGAGAATTCTCTACAAGATAAATTTGTATACTTTGATCTCTTTGACACCTGGCATGGTCCAGCTCAAGATGGAAAGACTGTCATGATCACTTGCTGGCACCAACACTTTGCTAACACAAAAAGCTTTGCCACTGGCAGAAAAGCTCAATGCCTCTGCTCCTGTGAGACACTGTCAGTATTGCTGGATGGTTGATGTTATTGCCTGCACACTGAAGCAAATGGTTCTACTCAGGGGCGGAGTGACCATTTGCAAACTCGGGCACTGCCCCAGGGCCCGTTGTCAGTAGGGGGCCCCATGAGATGCCAATGGTACCTTTTTTCATAGGATTTTTTTGAGTTTGGGCAAGGACACAGGGGCCCCATGATCCCCTATTGCCCGGGGGCCCCATGAGTTGTTAGTCCGCCCCTGGTTCTACCACACAACTGTTCTGTAAAAACAGGAAGTGGCTGTAGCTGCTCTATCTTAGTTCTCTATTATTCTCCAGTGCATTCTGGGATGCAGGAACCAGCACAGCCTCTCCCCCCCAGCACCCAGGTAACCCTTTGTAAATGTTTCACTAACGCGCTCTAACTGCTATAGGTTCCAGTAACGTGCGGTTATGGCATGTTACCATTAAATGAATGGAGGTGGCTGAAAAGAGTTGATGCCTCAACATGTTGCTTAATTTTTACCAAAACACAATGTTTCTGATCCTATGTGTGGTGCCCATTGCAATATTTATGGCAGGTATTGATGCTGCTTAAGCACAGGATGTTGATGCACATGACAAGCCCATATGAATCTATGCTACAATCCTTTAGTGGTCTACAGAATGTTACAACATCTTACCATAAATTAGGTGTCCCATTTACAATATCAGTAGCACTGTCCAGGTAACCCAAAGCAGGAACTGCCAGTACGCCAGTTTTTATCAAAGATGTTAACTGCTTAAGGACTGCCCTATAGCAGATATACTGCTACAGTGTGGCACCTGTGTGCAAAATCAAGTATATATAGTGATTTTGCATTGTAGGGGGCGCGAGTGAGCCGCGTGCGTGCCCTACCTACGCCGCCATTCGCAGCCACGGATGTCAATAACCGGGTCCCTGCCAGTAATTACCCGTCGGCACCTGGTGATTACCGAGCATCTCCGACAAGGATGAAGATTGTTTTGTTTACAATCTTCCTCCCTGTCAGCTCGAGCACACTGCTCGGGATGGCTGTGCACAGTACAGCCATCCTAATCAGTGTGCTTAGAGAGAAGAACACACCCCCGCCCCCTAGTAAAACACTCTCAGCACACAGTTAACCCTTTGATTGCCCCTCACATTAACTTCCTGCCCAGTGCTATTAATAGTGTCAGTGCCTTTATTTAGCACTGATCACTGTATTGGTGTCACTGGAGATGTCAGTAACACCAAGTTAGTTCCCCCCTGTGTCAGAATGTCCGCCGCAGTCCCACTAAATCTAAAGCTTATCGCTGCCATTACTAGTAAAAAACAAAATCCCATTATCTATACCACCATTTGTAAACACTATAACTTTCATGTAAACCAATTAATGTACACGTATTGGGATTTTTTTTTAGCAAAGACATGTCGCAGAATGCATTTTGGCCTAAATTTATGCCGAAATGTGATTGTTTAAATTTTTTTACTGGGCATGTTTAATAGCAAATAGTCCAAAATATTGTTTTTTTTTCCTCAAAATTGTTGGTCTTTTTTTGCTTATAGCGCAAAAAAAAATAAAAAACACACAGGCGATCAAATACCACTGAAAGAAAGCTCAATTTTGTGGGAAAAAAAGGACATAAATTTAATTTGGGTGCAGCATTGCATGACTGCACAATTGTCAGTTAAAATAACGCAGCACCTTAATGGAAAAAATGGCCTGGTCATGAAAGGGGGGGGTAAATCCTTAGGAGGGCAAGTGGATAAAGCAGATTTTTTTCTTCCAACAACATAAATAACAATGTTTCATGACCTTTTGGGGTCTCCATCTAGGGCCATATCAGATGGGTGATTTAGTTACAGTGATACGTGATTTTTTTTTCTCACTAAGGAAATATAGAACCTCTAACACACTCATTTTATAGCACTTTGTAAATCAGTCACAGCGACTGAATTTGAGCAGCAGTTCAGATCAACTACCAGAGACAATAGTTCTGCATTCACTTTTGTGACTTAGCTGCAATGCTGTAGCACTAATTTAACATGTAGAAGGGACAAATTGCTTCTTAGCTGCAAACCACCAGTGACTCTAGTACACAGGTGTCAAACTGGTGGCCCTCCAGTTGTTACCAAACTACAAGTCCCATGAGGCATTGCAAGATTGACAGTTACAAGCATGACTCCCAAAGGCAGGGGCATGACGGGACTTGTAGTTTTGCAACAGCTGGAGGACCACCAGTTTGACTCCCCTGCTCTAGTAATTAAATTGCTCGCTATATATTTGTAGGGGGAGGAGGGTATGGCAGCAATTGCTTGAATGGAGCACAGAGACAATCCAGTGCAGAGACAGAAATATAATGTGAGCATCTGTGCATGGGGGGGGGGGGCATATCAGCAGGAGGCAGGGAAACAGCAGTACACTGATATTTGCTGTAATTAGCTGTTCGGCAGGGGTGGGCATGTCAGCACATGTCTGACTATTGAAGTACAAGCAGGCTGTGCTACCAAGTAGAAAGCAAAGAAGCAGCCTGACCACACAAGCATGGATGTGTTTCCATGCCCTGGTGTGGTCAGTTTGAAATAGGAAAGCAGGGGGACTGAAAGGACACCAGGTATTTTACAAAAACGAAGCAATGCAAAGAGAACAGGACACACTCTAATACCAGTAAACGGTAACACAGATATATATACGAAAAATGAAATGTCGAAGTATCATACACTGTAATCATTGGCATTGGCTGACCTTGACAAAAGTATCTTTGAATGCTTTAAAAGATAAAAGGCTAGTTAGGTAAAAATGATGAAGGCTAAAGCTGCTTTAGCTTTAATCACATGAGCACTGGTGGTTCCTGTACTATGTTATGAATGTATAATGTCTAGCTTTTGCTGGAATTTATGACCAGCCATAAAATTCCAACAAATTAAGCAAGAGAAATTTAAGCCAGAAGAAATAAAGCTGCAGTTGGAAGCAGTAAAAGGTGCCTGCTGTGCTGGTTTCACATGTTTCAGCAAATCACATCTATAATCAATAGACAGACTGGCACTAGCTGCCCTGTCAGCTGATGGATGCTGTGTTTATCAGGCATGCTAATGGCCATTGTTACACACTGGCTGGCAGTTTGTCCTAAATCAGAGCATCTCACTAACAATGCTGAAGAGCTTCAAATATAAACATATCCTGTTTATCGGTGAGCCTTCCTATTTCATGTTGGTGACATTGACTGGCCTTGTTTGCAGATTAAAATCCATCTGTTTTTAACAGCATTTTACAGCTAAAGTGTTACTAAACCCACAATAGTAAAATCAGTCTGTATATGCAGTAAAGCATGCTTGTTATGCTCCCTGTGGAACCTAAGGGGTTAATTCTCCACATTGTGTAAAAAGGATGTTTGATCCTGACTTCTCTGATCCTTGCCTTCTTCCATTGCCCCCTAAATATCTTCTGATTGAACAGAGGTTTGGAGTCACTCTGCACATGCTCAGTTTGGTGTGTATTGCTAGAGAGTTTTTTTTTCTTGGGAGAGTGCATGTGATCAGCACAGGGCCAATTAGCACTATCCAAACAGAGGTTGGGGGTGCTGGACCCTCATAGGGGAGAATGAAAACTCCTCTTACAAGCTTTAACCAGTGGTCTGCTGGACACTGATGGAAGTTATAAGACAGATCCAACTGCTGATGAGAAAAGGTATTTAGCAGTTTATATTCTGAATTACTCATCTACAGAAAAAAACATATATGTCATATTTAGTGAGTGTGTTTTCATTACTTTCACTTCTTTCTCACACCTACTTGGCTGTTTTCTATTTAGTTTGTTCTTAATGATATATAAAACAAATATCAATAAAGAGCAACAAAGTGACACTAAATGATATCGTTATTCTCAAAAAGTAATCCACACATCCTCTGCTTAACCACTTCAATACCGAGCACTTTCACCCCCTTCCTGCCCAGGCCAATTTTCAGCTTTCAGTGCTGTCACACTATGAATGACAATTGGTCATGCGACATTGTACCCATATTACATTTTTATAATTTTTTTCACACAAATATAGCTTTCTTTTGGTGGTATTTAATCGCCACTGGGTTTTTTATTTTTTTTTAAATAAATGAAAAACAAATAAATGAAAAAAAGACCAAAAATTTTGATTAAAAAGAATGCATTTGTCTTCATTTCTGTTGCTCAATTTTGCAAATAAACAATTGTTCTTTATAAATTTAGGCCATACTGTATTCTGCTACATTTCTTTGGTGAAACCCCAAATCAGTGTATATTATTTAGTTTGTGTGAGAGTTACACAAACTATAGCATATACAGTATATATATATATATATATATATATATATATATATATATGTATGTATACTGTATATATACAGTGCTCAGCATGAATGAGTACACACCAACTGATTTATCATAAAACCTTTACTTTCCCTACAGAATCAATATTTTCTATGGTACTCTATGCGACAAAATACTCTCACACATGCGGGCCATTGGTTGCAAACAAGATTCGTTCATTTGCATACACAAAAAAGTATTTTTCCTAATAAATTAATTCTAAACCATGTTGCAAAAATTAATACACCCAAATGAAAGTCTTAGGAGCAAAGCTAAACTTTAGACAGCAAAATCTTATTTAACGAAAATTCTACTTAATGTGAGTCTAATCATTGATTAACCACTTACCTACCGGGCACTTATACCCCCTTCTTTACCAGGCCAATTTTCAGCTTTTAGCTCTGTCACACTTTCATTGACAATTGCGCGGTCATGCAAGATTGTACCCATATGAAATTTTTATAATTTTTTTCTCACAAATAGAGCTTTCTTTTGGTGGTATTTAATCGCTGCTGGGCACTTTACTTTTTGCGCTATAAACAAAAAAATTGCAAAAAATTTGGAAAAAAAAAAAAAGTTTCTTTGTTTCTATTATAAAATTTTTCAAACAGGTAATTTTTCTCCTTCACTGATGTGCATTGATGAGGCAGCACTGATGGGCACTAATAAGCGGCTCTGATGGGCACTGATAGGCAGCACTGATGGGAACTAATAGGCAGCACTGATAGGCAACACTAATGAGGTGGCACAGAGAGGTAGCACTGATAGGCAGCACTAATGAGGTGTCACAGATAGGCGGCACTGATAGGTGGCACAGATAGACAGCGCTGATAGGTGGTACTGACTGGCATCACTGCTGGGCACTGACTGGCGGCACTGCTAGGCATTGACTGGCACAACTGCTGGGCACTGACTGGCACATCCACTGGGCACTGATTGGTGGCACTGACTGGCAGCACTGTTGGGCTGCACTGATGGACACTGGTGGGTGGCACTTCTGAGCAAAGGGGTGCACTGCTGGGCACAGGTGGGTGGCACTCTGAGCACAGGTGGGTGGCACTGCTGGGCACAGGTGGGTGCACTGCTGGGCACAGGTGGATGCACTGCTGGGCACAGGAGGGATGCACTGCTAGGCACAGGTGGGTGGCACAGGTGGGCGCACTGCTGGGCACTGGTGGGTGGCACTGATGGGCACAGGTGGGCGCACTGCTGGGCACAGGTGTGCGGAACTGGTGGGTGGCACTACTGGGCACCGATCATCAGGGCACTGATCATCAGTGCCCTGATGATCGGTGCCGATCCCCGCTCTGACAACTGGCAGTTCTCGGCAGTACTTTCCTCACGCTCTGACAGCATGTGTGCGCCCCCGAGCGTGTTCTGGGAGGATGTCATATGACGCCCTCCCATAACTGGCTGGCCGCAGTGTAGCCATCATTCGGCTATCTGCGGTCGGCAGGTGGTTAAACAGGTGTCCACCAGAGAGTTGATTATAAAAGGGTATGACTTAACAAAGAAAACCCCTTCCCATTTCATGCTGTCAGCAATGGACCACATGGAGAAGAAATGGCCTGAGAAAAAAAAAATAATTTCTTTACACAAGAAAGGTGAAGGCTAAAAATGATCAGCAAAGCTTTACTTATCACTCAGAATACTGTAGCATTTTGGTGTGTATTGCTAGAGAGTTTTTCTTTTTCTTGGGAGAATGTATGTGATTGGCACATGGCCAATCAGCGCTGTCCAGACAGGGGATCAGGAGTTATGCAGCCTCATAGGACAATCAGGGGAGAATGAAAACTCCTTCTACAAGATTAACCAGTGCTCAGCCGGAAACTGATAGATGTCAAAAGACTGCTATCTACTGCTAATGAGAAATTGTATATTTACTAAAATAATTGCATTTCAATGTTCTGTGTACTGTGGGAGACCAGATATAGTGAATGCAGGGTCCTGGGTTTAGTAACACTTTAAATAAGTTTCTGGATCTGGTTAAACTCAGGGCCAAACAAATGAATTGTATTGCTGATAATCATGTGTCAGATAGTGGCAGAAGTATTTATGTATTTATGCATTATGATGCTCCATGTTAAAACATATCTAAATCCAAAAAAAAATGTGATATACTGACGCTTACCAGTCCTTAGTGACTGCTTTACTTTTCTCCTTCAAGCTTTCATGTTTTGCTTTCATCTTGTGATTCTGTCAGCAACACACTGCAAGTCCTAGGATGACAACACTTACTCACCCTTTTGTATCAGAAAAACAGAAAGATAGGACAACATAACCTCACCCTCTCCTGTTCTCCATAACATAGATGGGTGAGGTTCTGTATTCCTCAAGGAGCAATGTAATCGGTAGTAGTCGGAACAGGCAGAGAGCATAGAAAGTTTTTCAGCAAGATCAATAGGCATTGTTTTAAAACTTTTTTCAAACAGAAAATTTAAAATGCTTTAAATTTTCAGTGGTATATTTAACAGACCAAAGGGGAACAAATAAGAAATGTTCATTGTTACAGTAAGTTTCCATACATTTAAGGCACATAAAAGTTAACATGGTGGAGGATTTTTTTTCTTATAATGACTGGATGTAATCTAAAAAAAATGCATTTATCACATTTCTATTTGTCAAATGGTAGATTTGTTATAATGCAAGTAATATTTATGCTCTTAGTCGTCTTACAATACAAGAGTGCTAAATATACAAAAACATTTTTTTTTAGTGGATATGTTTTATAGCAGAAAGTAGAAAATATTGGTGTTTTTAAAATAAATTTTGGTCTTTTTTCCATTTATATAATTAAAAAAACAGTGGTGATCAAATACCACCAAAAGAAAGCTCTATTTGTGTGAAAAGTATGATACAAATTGTTTGGGTACAGCATTGTATGACCGCGCATTTACCAGTTAAAGCAGAACAATGATAAATAGCAAAAATGGCCTATTCATGAAGGGGGTAAAACCTTCCGAAGCTGAAGTGGTTATAATCCCTTTGTGCTATCTGTATGTTAAAGACATATAATGAACTAGCTATAAATCTGAACCTAATAACAATAGGTCATTTTTATGTGATTTTATTTTATTGTACTCTATTATATTTATGTGATGCACTGTAATTTGGTGATATACACAGCATAATAAATGATTTTTTTTATATGGTTTAGTATATCTTTGAACCTTGAGCAATTTAGGGTGATCCATACAAGAGATCTATTCCCCAAGCTGTTTATGTGCTAGATTATAACAATTAGAATTCATAGATGAACCATGAGCAGGTGTCATGCACTTAGGCAGGCATTTTTGCTTACCTGTCACATTTAGGAAGTAGTTTGAGTAAATAAAAGCTTTTAAACAAAAGTTAGAAAGCTGCCTTTTTGCTAATCAGAATGAGTAGTTATTGACATGTGGACATTACCAAAATAGATTTTCTCCTACGGCTGCAATTGTCTATCACAGCATGTGCCTGCAGAGTGTAGATGGAAGGACTTTAAGTATAGTTGTCTGTTTTTTTTTTTTTTTTTTTTTTTGCTGGAATACAGGTTTAGCCGTAAATCTTTAAGGAAAGTTGCTATCAATGTCAGCTCTAGAAGTCTTACATTATGAAAGGAGTTAGAAATCTGTAGAACTGTTGACACTTTGTTGAAGCCTTTTGCGAGTACTGCTGAACATGCTGTTCCTATATGGATCACTTACATGCATTAGCACATGTCAAAATAAATTACAGAATAATAACTGACACCTATACACTATAAAAAGCTATTCAATTAAAATATAACTAAAAGCAAAATTTGTTTTACATTTTGGATAGCGTGGAGAGAGATTAAAACACCTGTCTGTTTTTTTTTTGCTCTCTGTACCTCAATAGGGAGATCCAACCTGTCTATTTCACCTGCTTAACATCATCACCAAAAATGAAGTGAAACAAAGACCTCAAATTTGGGTTGTCACCAGAACAGTAATAGAGGGGAAATCTTCAACTGAGTTCTGCTGATCCTGATGACACCCTGGGATTCACTTATTTTGGCGAGATTTCCTTTCACTTCCAGTTTTGGCCATGGGACAAGAAGTGAAGGGAAAACTCTCCAATGGGACACAGGTGGCAAAAAAAATCCTTTCTGTTAAAAATACAGGGTGTCCCTAAAGTCTGGAGACACAGGCCAAATGCATACTGAGAAAAAAGACAAATACTGTAGTTAGTGATATTTCCTATGTGTTCAGACTTTAGGGACAACCTGTACCTTAAAAAACAGTTGAATAACTAGCCATTCTCTTCATCTTCTATACTGCTTGTGAAATTCTGAGATAACTTATCTTATTCTATTTTACAATCACTCCTTATGCCTCATTTTCAGATGTGATTTACCTTCATTATTGTGTAAAACCATAAAACACTTTCAAGTGAGCCAAGTGAGACATCTAAAATTATTATTTGTTTAGCTGTATCTTGATTTTCAGGTGTGAGATTAATATTCCTTACATATGTTTTTTTGCAGGTATGACATTACTACTTTCCAAATACAAGCAATAGCGGTGAGAAATTTAAAGGAAACCTATGCTAAGAAAAATACATGGGTTGTCATCTGACATTTTTCACTGGCAGCATACTTTTTCTGGCTCAGTGACTCAGAAGGTATTAATGTCAAAAACAGAACCAAGCAGCTTCAAAAATAATCAGCAGTGGCAGTTTGCATATTCCTCTTATGACTGATTTCTTTTATTGCAATTGCATGTGTGTTAGTGGGAGTGGTGGCATTGCTTTATGTAATGCATTAATGTGCATTGCAAACTATGGCATATATAAAAAATGTGCATTTCCATGAAATCTGCACTTACAGATTTCTCTTACTTTCTCTGTATTATCCTACACATACCTGATGATCATACCAGTGGAGTCCACCTAATGAAGCTTCTACTGATAATGTGGCAACTATGCTGCACTGCTCCTGAATTCAGAGCAGAGTTGCCCCTCTCATGTGACTTGTTCCTGCTTGCATTACAATGGGAATAAAAAATGTTGCAGAAGGCTTTACTATCAACATTGTTGCTGCTGATTCACAAGTTTATAGCTAATCCTGCCAACTGCTTTCTGGGTTGACAGCACTGCCTCTATTTCTGAAACCTTTCCACTGAGGAAAGATAGAGGAAAATTTAGTTCAGTTAGGAAAGGAAAGGAAAGTTAGTTTTTTAGTTACTTTATGAGGCTTATGCATCACATAATTACTGGTTTTGCGACTTGTTCACACTGTCATACAGGAGCGATTAGCTATACTTTAACGTGTTACTAAACCCACAACAGTAAAATCAGTCTGTATAAGCAGTAAGGCATGCTTGTTATACTCACTGTGGAACCTAAGGGGTTAATCCACCGCATTGTGTAAAAAGAATGTTTGATACTGTCTTCTCTGATCCTCCCCTTCTTCTTCTGTCCCCATTGTATCTTCTGATAGAACAGAGGCTTGGAGGCAAGCTGCACATGCTCTTTGGTGTGTTTTGCTAGAGAATGTTTTTCTTTTTCTTGGAAGGGTGCATATGATCAGCACAGGGCCCATCAGCACTGTCCAGACATAGGGTCAGGGGTCCTGCAGCATTTTAGGACAGTCAGAAGAGGATAACAACTCCTCCTACAAGCTTTAACAAGTGCTCTGCTGGACACTGATAGAAGTCACAATATCTAACTGCTAATGAGAAAAAGTATTTAGCAGTTT